GGCAGCCACAAATATCCCGTATGCTTTAAACGTTGAAACTGCTAAAAAGTTGTAGTTTACTTCCATAATATTAACTGCTTATTATTTAACAGAGTTGTAAGATGTAGTCTTCACTCTAGCGTTTTCTATTTCTCGTATTTTTTTTGTCAAAACTATGTAGCTAGCATACATTTTGGAGTCGCACAGAAGTCTAAGAACTTACTGCTTTACCTCGATATCTGTTAAATTAAAATTTTCCTAAAACTTTCTCTGTTTCTGGGGAACTACAGCACGTAAATTCAAAGGAAAACAACAAGTCGGACTTTCGTTTGCTTATGCAATCAAAACTTTAACAAGTTCAAGATGGAGACAATTCTAAATTCAAGAAGTAAAAACGTTGGAGTGAAAACTCTATCTTACACCTCTGTTGAATAATAAACAGTTAATGTTATGAAAGTGAAGTACAACTGTGGTAGCAAATTTTCAACGTTCAAACCATATTGGATATTCGCAGCTGCCCGCTGCGACATTTAGAAGCGGCACCGGATGGTTTCATTTTAAAATACGTGGGATTACTGTAAAAATAGTGGGTTTTTTTTTTCAGTTTTACATCCTATTCCGGCTCGTAGCTTCGGATACCGACAAATCGCCATCTCCAAATTTTGATGTGTTGTAGAACAAAAAATTCTGCACAAAATCTGTTTTTTTTTTTAAATTTAAAACTTTGTTTTTATTTTATGTTTGTTTGAAATTTTGTTTTGATTGTATTTATATAATTTTTTAACAAAATTAAAAGAATAAATATGCATTCAAAAGTTCAAACAAATTTAATAAACAAAAAAGCATTTAATTCCGTTCAGAACCAGCCAAATTACAAGTCTGTAAAGAGAGGCATTTCAAGTGGTAACCTGGCAAATTCCTCCACTTTGAGGGGGTTTATCTCAGCGGGGAATTCACTTTTCCAGGTTTTCCTTGCGGGCTTTCTCTATGCTCGCCTAGACTCTACTAATCAGCAAAATTTAAAGAAAACCTGAGATATGAAAAGAAAAAAGTGTGCGATTTAACGTGGAGTGGCTCATATATATATGTTCCGAAAGAAGTTACGTGTTCAAAACCTGAAAGATGA